TTTTTTTTTTTTTGTATATATGGTTTGATAGGTATGCTTCCAAGGAGGAAGAATAACACTTCTACATCAAAAGGCAAAGAAAAAGTCACGGATCTTCAAGCATAGCTCACACACAACTTGATGAAGGGGGTGTGCGGTGGTTTAGATCACTTGAGCATATGGTTAGAATTGACAATGTGGTATCTAGATGGAAAGTATGGCCCGAACGACAGGTTTTGGTTGAAGGCTTTTCGGGATTTGAGTTGATTCGGCTAATTTATCTAGCAGGGTGGGAAAAAGTAGCTTGCGAGCCTCAGAAGGTTTACCCTACTATGGTGCAAGCGTTCTACACCAATATTAGTATAGAGTTAGACACTCCGGGGACCGAACACATGCACTGGACATGGGTATGAGATAAATGGATAATGTTCTCGCCTGAGGTGATTGATGCTTATTACAGATTGATTAGGGATAATATTGTGCCAGTGCTAATGGATCCAGACATGTTGGTTGTTGAACAGATGCTTTATGGGCGAGATGATGTGTGGCCACTTCTTGATAATGAATTTGAATTCCAACACCTGACTTACTCCATTGTGATATATATAAATTCATTATGCACAACATCAATCTGAGCTCGCATGACACCATGTTTAATCATCCTAAGGCCATTCTAATATATCATCTAGCATGAGGCTTTAAGATTAATTTGGGGTCTCTAATTTACACTCTCATGGATTTTGTCGCATCAGACACAGACCCTAGACATACGTTGGTCTTTCCTAGTCTCATTACTGGCTTGTGTCATGAGTCGGGTATTAGACTCCTACCAGGGGAGTTACATGCGAGAAAACCAGTCCCGATCAACTTCCAAAACACGACAGTCCATTAGACAGCAGAGACAATGATACGAGCAGCAATAGGACCAAGATTATGAAAAGGAGGATGATCACATTATACTTCTCGTACAGCCAGATCCAGCTCCTAATTTACAGGCTATAAGGCAGTTGTTTGAGGGTCTAACATAGACTAATAGGACATTGCAGCATATAGAGCAGATGTTGATAGCTTCGCAGGTCAGAGAGAAAGCGAGGGATGACAGGGAACGTGCTAGGAATGCCAGGTTGCAGGGAATTGAACAAGATATCAACAGGTTTTCAACTGAGCTATTGACTTTGTGTAGAGAACATGACCTTATGGGGCGACGTTTAGATAGATGTATATGGCGGGTTGAGGACAAATATATTCGCAATGAGTCCATATATAGCAAATCAGAGGACACACATGGACATTTGATGAGATGTGTATTATGATGCGAGACCTCTACTCTTTGTCCACTCCTCCACCAACTAATGCGGCGGACCCGTTGGATCTGGAGCATTCATGCCTTTCTATCCACCGCCTACAAATTGATACCAAGGGAGTACCTGTTTCTTTTTCTGCCCTTAATTTTCTTTTGGTTTACTGATTGCATTATTTTTAAAAATTGAGGGCAATGTCCGTATCTAGTTTGGGGGTGTGATTTTCATCGAGTCTAATGTTTTGTTATTTTTGCGTGTGTGTGAAAAAAAATTTAATCTTTAGTTTTATTACTTCATTTTATGTATTTGTACATGCTTGTATGAGTCAGATAATCTGCTAACGATGATGTATATATTGGAACATAGAGTTGGACTATAAATTATGGATAAGTTATATGTTAAGTTAGTTTGTGCTTATTTATGTGGAATTTGATATTTTTTAGCACAAGATTTATGTTCTGCATTGTGAAGAAAAAATTTGATTCATATGGTTGAATATGTTAAAAATAATGAACCATAGTTGCATAACCCGAACAATCATTATATTATACATCCTTAAACCAATTTTAGATAGTTTGGGGGACGATTGAGTTGTTGTATGGAGACATTGAGATAGCTGTGGATTTTATGTGTGCTAAATTTTGTGTGAATTGTCTAAGGATAATAAGATGAAAATTATGTTGAAATCTTAAGTTGTGGGTCGATTTTTGAGAACGAGTGTTTAATAAGGGAATCATGGATGTTAAAAAAAAATAATAAATATGTGGTATTGTCATATTGTGAAATTTCTCTCTGTAACATTTATGACTCGAGTGATTAAACCTGCAAGGGTCTCTAAAAACCTTATGTCCTATGGTCATTTGACTTGGGAATTATCAACTGAAAGCACGCTGCAAGGGTCATTTAAAAAGTTTAATGGAGATAAGTATTAAAAAAAAATTGCTACATGTCTTGAGTAAGCCCCGAACTCTCATTTGAGAAAATTGGACTTTTGACAAGAAATTATTAGCTCAATTGATTATCAGATGTTGAAGCAATCAAAAATAAGGAAAATATGCATTTGTTGACGTGTTGAGTTACAATTAGTAAAATCGAACCCAACTAGAGAGGGTGAGGAGTAGTATTATATTAAAAATTCAACCTTATGTCACACCTTGGGGAAAGAGTGAAAAGAATGAAATTTGGGGGTATGTATCTTACGAGCGAAGAAATGAAATATTTGGCCATAAAGCTTTGGGAATTGAATCAATTTATGACTTGTGATGTTTTACATGAATCTTCACACACAAACGTCAGTTTTGCATTGAATATGTAGAGATTGATTTAGTATTGTGATTTTGAAGTAGTTTAAATTTTCAACTCTGAGAGTCCAATCCTGAGACTAAAAGCATATTATCCAACCAAGTTATTTATGAAATTTTGTGTAGTTAAGCTTTATTTTGTTTTAGGACAAACAATTGTTCAGATTTGGAGGTATTTGATAAGTGTATTTTATACACTTATCTGTAGCGTTAAACTAGAGCAATTATTGTTATTTTAAATGAATTAAGGCTTAATTTTGTATTTATTTTATTTGTTAAGTGCATCTCAATGAAAAACGATGGAATTGGACAAAAGGAACAGAAAATTGGCTAAAGTGGACCTAATCCAAAGTTTAGGAACTAAATCGCAAAATGCTAATAAATTATTCGAACCTAGTGTCGACGATTGGAGAGAGGTTGGAGTCAATTAGATGGCGTTGGAGGATCAAGAAGATACGAAAAATGGACCAAAATAACTAAAGAATGAAATCCGGGGATCAAAGTGCAACAAAAGGGAAATTGTATAATGGCGCGCGTGCGCATGCCAATTCTCTCGCCCGCGCATGGGCATGAAATTCATCTACTGATAACAAAATCAATGAACGGCACGCGTGCAAGGAACTATACGACGCGTGCGCACATGCCATTTTTTTGCCCGAACGTCCCAGTTTCCTTGTTTTATCTAAATTCTTATAAAAATCAAATTCAACATATTTCTTAAGGAGGAGAGGGTGGCGTGAAATACACAACATATCAAATCCTATTTTTTTACCACAAGAAAGAGGCTAGCACAAGATTCAAAGGCAATTAGCACAAGAGATTGAAGATTCAATGTTCGGGTTGAAAATTAACGAAAAAGAAATTGAGTTTTTACTTTCCATTCATTATTTTTCATTCCGGACGATGTTTTCTCAAATCTTTTTGTGTAATTTACATAACAATATGTGAAGTTAATTGCGTTCATGTATTGGATGAAGATGAAACATGTTATTATTTATTTT